CCCTTAGGAAGAAAACAGATTTAAATTCTGAGATATGAAATCGTTTCATTTTATGGCACATTTTAATCACCTGAGGACAGGTCAGGTGGGCTGGGCCTCAAGTGAGACCTGCTGCAAGCTAGAAAATTGGAATTTGATAGAATTCCTCAAAGAATGAGGATATACTTGGGATTATAACTCTACTGGGGCGGGGCTAGGGGGAGCTAGATTAGAGAAGGTCATGAAAACCCTGGGTCAGCTACTGGGAAAGCAGTAGCTCAGATACTGGGGTGCTGACTGCAGGCTCTTTCCAACCTCTGGGGAAGTCCTGATTTTTACAACCCCCAGGACCTATTGGGCTCCTGTGGCTTTCCTACGGATTTTGAGACATTGTGATTTCTTTTCATATTTAATACCTAAAGGTGGTCCAGGTAAGAACAGAAACCTGTACAATGGATCAAGTGCCTCAGACCATCCAGGGTGCTGGATGGACAGCAGTCAGGAGTGCCCTGGGGGAATTTTATGGAACAGGAGAATTTCCTACCTGACATGAGTCACCAGTGTAGTCAGGGGGGCAGGCACACATCTCCACATTATGTGCTCTACGTCCACTCCCTGTGTCAGAGGCCTCCTCCAGCCCCACCCCGCTCAGGGTGAGCCGCTGGGTCTCGCTGAAGTAGAGGCCTCGAAGGCGCACATCTTCCAGTCTAGACAGCACCGTCATCAGCTCTTCCCGAGTCACCGGGGCACCGCTCCTGGCATGTCTGAAGTTTCCCTACAGGTGAAAACAGAGAGGCAAGCTCACTTCCAGGGGTTTCAAAGAGGCAGGGCACCCAGAATGAGTCAAAGAAAAGACACTTAAGATATCTAACAGAAAATAAAATAAGACAGGTAAGTGTAAGATATTGAATTTACATTCAGAAGTCAGATGTCCTGGGTTATTTCCAAGAAGAGAGAGAGCCACACGAAAGGGGGAAAAATGAAGGCAGGAAATAAGGAACAATAAAATGAAATAGAATTTTCCAGTGTTATGCTTATTTTAAAATGAACTTTTGTTTGTGTAAGCACAGAGTTAAGTGAGAAAGATACAGGAGAGAAGGCGTATGGATACTGGCCGAGTCATGCAGCTCAGATCACTGTGTACACAACTGTGACAGAAGTGCAATCTTTACTTGCTCACGCACACTCATACTATTTTATTTTATTTTTTATTATGGTAAAAAACATACAGCATAAAAATGATCACCTTAACCTTTTTAAAAGCACACTACATGCTGTTAACTCTATTCACATTGTTGTACAACAGATCCCTAGAACTTTATCATCTTGCAAGACTGAAACCCTATACCTATTAAGAAATAACTCCCGTTTCCTCCCCCTCCGCCCCCTCCCCTCCCAGCTCCTGGCAACCACCATTGTACTTTCTGTTTCTATGAATTTGAGTGCTTTAAATACCTCTTGTAAGCAAAATCATGTAGTATTTAGTTTTTGTGACTGGCTTACTTAATTTAGTACAGTGTCCTCAAGTTTCATTCATGTTCTAGCCTGTGGCAGGATTTCCTTCCTTTTTAGGTGGAATAATATTTCAATGTAGATGCCTTGTTTTCTTTGTCCATTCATCTGTTGGTAGGCATTTCGGTTGTTTTTACTGCTTGGCTATTGTAAGTGCTGTGATAAATGTGAGTGTGCAAATATCTCTGCAAAATCCTGTTTTCACTCCTTTTGGATATATACTCAGAAATGGGATTGCTGTATCATATAGTAATTCCATTTTTTAATATTTTGGAGGAACCTCAAAATTGTTTTCCACAGCAACTGCACTGTGTTACAGTTCCACCGACGGTGCATATCCTTGCTAACCCTTGTTATTTTCTGTTGGTTTTTTAATTTAAAAAATTTTTATTGTAGCTGCTCTAATGAGTGTGAGGTGGTGTCTCATAGTTTTGATTTGCATTTTTCTAGTGATTTTGTGATGTTAAGTATCTTTTCACATAAAAAGCCTGCACTTTTAACCTCTAGATTCTGTTGCCTCCTTGAAGATTTTCCACATCTCTTTAATGGGCCATAGTAATAATTCCTAATCTCTCAGGACTATCATGAGGATTAAAATAGATTAATGATATAATGTACTTAAAGTATTCAACACAGTGCCTAGCATATAGCAGACATTTAATAAATGGTAATTATTATTAACACATTAATATAATACTTATATAATTTTAATTTCTATTTTAACAGCTTGAGGTACACAGACAATAATATTTCCTCATTTTAAGTGTACAAATTTTAGTAAATTTACAGAGGCATGCAACCATTACCACAATGTAATTTTAGAACACTGTCATTCCCCCTAGTGAATCCTTGCGGCCATTTGTAGTTACTACCCATCCCACCTCCAGCCCCAGGCAACCCCTAAGCTATATTCTGTCTCTATGGATTTGCCTATGCTGGACAATTTATATAAATACCAACTTAATTTCAGTAGCATACAAAATTTGGTTTCCATTTGCTTCATTTCCTCCCCTGCTCCTTTGTGCTTTTGTCATATAACTTACATTTTTATACATTGTACACTCACCAACACAGATTTATAATTGTTTCTTTATGCAGTTGTCATTTAAGTCAGATAGGAGATAAAAAAAGAGTTATAAACAAAAGATATATTTATACTGCCTTCTATATTTACCTATGTAGTTACCCTTACCTGTGCTGGGTTTCTTATGCATATTTAAGTTATTGTCTAGTGCCCTTTAATTTCAGTCTAAAGGATTCCCTTTAGTATTTCTTATAAGGAGGGTGGGCTAGTTAGTGAATTCTCTTAGTTTTGTTTATAATAGAATGTCTTCATTTCTCCTTTATTTTTGAAGTACATTTTGCTGGATATGTGATTCTTTGTTGACAGTATGTTTCTTTCTGCACTTTGAAAATGTCATCCCACTCACTGTCTTCTGACTTCCATGGTTTCTACTCCTTGTATGTGATGCACTGCTTCTCTCATACTGCTTTCAAGATTCTCTATCTTTGTCTTTCAAGCATCTTTACTATGATGTTTCTGTATGTGGATTTCTTGTATTTATCATACTTGGAGTTTATTGAGCTTCGATGTATAGATTAATGATTTTCATCAAATCTGGGAAGTTTTCAGCCATTATTTCTTCAAATATTTTTTCCTCTTTTCTCTCTCTCTCCTCTTCTTCTGGAACTTCATTACGCACATGTTGATGCATTGGTTTCCCAAATATCTCTGAGAGTCTGTTTGTTTTTTCTTTCTGTTCCCCAGATGGGTAATCTCAGTTGAACTTCCTCAAGTTTGATGATTTTTCTGCCTGCTCAAACCTGCTATTGAGCCCTTGTCTTAGCTTTGGCTGCCACAGCAAAATACTGTAGACTAGGTCGCTTAAACAACAGATATTTATTTTCTCACAGTTCTGGAGGCTAGAAATCCCAGATCAAGGTGCCAATCAATTTGGCTCCTGGTAAGAAACCCTCTTCCTGGCTTGCAGATAGTCACCTTCTCACTGTGTCCTTACATGGCAGAGAGACAAAGTGAGCTTCCTCATGTGTCCTCTTTTAAGGCCATACTATAGGACACATTTCATCCTATTGGATCAGGGCTCCACCCTTATGACCTCATTTAACCTTAATCACTTCCTTACTGCAAATACAGCCACACTGCGGATCAGGGTTTCAACATTTGAATTTGTGGGGGGGAGGGGCACAGTTCAGTCCACAGCAGCCCTTATAGTGAATTCTTCATTTTGGTTATTATACTTTTTAACTCCAGAATTTTTATTTGATTCTTTTATATAATTTCTATTTTTTAATTGATATTCTCTATTTGGTGAGATATTGTTCTCATATTTTCCTTTAGTTCTTTAGACATGGTGTCTTTCAGTTCTTTGACATATTTGAAATGTTAAAGTCTTTTATAGTAAATTAAATGCCTGGGCTTCCTTAGGGACACTGTCTATTTGTTGTTCCTCCCACCCTCACCCTCGTGTGTAAACCACATTTTCTTATTTCTTTCCATGTTTCATAACTTTTGTTGAAAACTGGACATTTAAAATAATATAATGTGGCAACTCTGGAAATCATTCCCCCCCTTCCTGCTTTGAAGGATTTGTTTCTGTTTCTGTTTCTGTATTTATTTAATGACTTCTCTGAACTAATTCTGTAAAGTCTGTAATCTTTGTCCTGTGTGACCATTAAAGTTGGTTTAGTAGTCAGCTAATGACTGGACAGAAATTTTTACAAATGCTTGGAAACAAAAAGTCTCCTAGTCTTTGCAAAAGGGTTCTGTGTACATGTTGGAGGACTAACCAGGCAGCTGATAACTCTGCTTTAGCCTTTACTTCCTGCTTGCACAGAGCCTCAAGGTCAGCCAGAGGTGAAGGCTTAGGGCCTTCTCAGGTCTTTCCTGAGAATGCATACATCCTTGAGTATGTAAGTCTTTCTGTATTTCCAGGATTGTACTGGATCTTTTCAAAGCCTTTATGGATACCATATCCCCCAACTTTTTATTTTAAATTTTGTGATTATCCTAATGCTTGCTCCAACTATTATCCACCACCTTAGGCAACCCTGAAGTATAATGATTGCCCCTAAATGTTTCCAACACTCCCAGGGGAAAGGCTTTTCACATTGGGAGAGCTCTGAGTCAGGTCAGATAAAGACAGTCTTGGAAGTGGGATCATCCAGAAACCCTCCAGACAGGTCAAATCATGACAATTCTCTGGGAATGAGGTTTTGTAGGAGCTCCAATCCCACTCTGTCCCCTCTGGTGGCTTCTGGGCTACTGGCTTTTACCTTGATGGTGGGCTGTGGGTTATTGATTTTCAGGTCTACTGTGGAGCTGGGGTGGAGGGATGGAAATAGAGCAAGTTGAATACCAGCCACAAAGCTCATTGTTCTTTCCAAAGTTCATCCATTTTTCTTGAATAAATGCTTTCCAGATTGCTGCAAGCCTTTGCTTAATTTCCAGAGTTCTGAAATAGTTGATTTTGACAATTTAGGACAGTTTCCTCATTGCTTTTATAGAGGAAAGAATTTTTTGAGGTTCTTATTCCACCATTTTTGCTGATGTCAGCTCTCTCTTATAAAAAGAATCTCACAATATGTGATCTTTTGTGTCTTGCTTCTTTAAATCAGTACTCTGTATCATGTTTTTGAGGTTCATCATGTTGTGGTAGGCATCAATACTTTGTTCCATTCATTGCCAGTTTTCCATTGTATGATGGATCTGTACAGAAATGTTAAAATATGTCTGCAAGTTCAGAGTACTAGAAAAAGGACCACCTTGAAGCATTGAAAGTATTTAGAAATACAAATGGAACACTATTTTAAAGGAATAGTTGTAAACAAGTAGGTATAGTATAATAAAATATTTTATGATTCAATGATCTTTCCTTTATCTATTTATCTACTCTTATTTCTTTCATGCTAGACGTCTTTGTGGCTTTTCCATCAATTCATCCCAAACATTTGTTGGGCACTCATCAAATCCCAGACACAGGTTGAGAGGGAGCTGCATCTTAGCACTTAGAAGATCACAGGGTTTATGAGACAAGGATAATTAACTATAAACAGGACAGATAGTTCTTAGTGCCATAAAAACAGTACAAACAAAGCCCTGTGAAGATGAAACTGTATATTTTATATAATTTATGTTTTAAATTTATATATATGGTATGTTTATATTAATGTGATTAAGATAACTAACATTTTAAATTCATAAAATAAGTTAAAAAGCATAATTGTTTGACAGAGCTAAGTTGTAGAACAGAAAAGATCACCGAGAACCATTTCATGTATGTTCCTCCCTTATGCATGTACCTCCACCACCTGCACTCGCCCATGGTACAGCTTGTCCGGCCGTGGGTTATTCGGCTCCTCGTAGATGATGGACATGTGCTGACCCTGTTTAAAGAAAAACACAAATGCTTTAGTGCTGTGGCTGGGATGTGTTGAAGTTTAGATTGGGCTCAGAACAAATTTCTATGGATCTGCATTTCATGAAGTGCCTGACTCTAAAAATTTGTTTGAAAATAAACTGACTGGCAAAAGGATTAGTGGCATGGAAGCAGAATGATACTACCAAATAGAGTGCATTTTCACAAATAGGAAACCCTAATTTTCGTTTAACTGAAAATGTCTAAAAAGACGGAGAAAAATTTTTTTAAAACCATGCCTTGCAGTCAATGCATGAGGTGCTGCCTCTATTACTGCCTATAGGATCTGACTGTGGTAGCAAGAAAGCGCTTTGGAGGGCGGGGAGGCAGGAAGGTTAGCGGGGCCCCCGCAGTGCAGCCTGCAGGGCCAGGGAGCTTCGGAGTTGGCTGGTGGGGCGGGATTTAGCCCCACAGCCCCCACACTCCAGGGCCCAGCTGCACTCACTCAGCCTCTGAACCCCGCTCCTTGAGGGACTCCTTACAGGCACAACAGGAAAGTCACACTCACCATCAGCACCCCACCTCAAACACACACACACACACACACACACACACACAAACACACACACACCAGCTTTTCTGTTGTATCACCAAACCCAAAAGGAACTCATTAGAACCACTGTTTCAGAAAGAAGAGCATTATCTGCCATAACAAATCATTTAAAACCTTAACCTAGGAAACATGCCCCAATAGGCTCTCCACTATAGCAGTTTGGAACAAAGCAGAGTAATGTTTCATGAGCCTAATTTTTCTCCTATGTTTGAAGGTGAAATTAAGGAGAAATTCTGATCATCACCTCTCCGTGAATTCTAACAGGTTGCATAATAAACTCTTTGGCAGTAAAATATAGGTAAACCAATGGCCTGAACTTGAGATACTCTGCAATAAAAATGAAAATGAAATAAAGCACTGCTATGACAGTATTTTTATTGTGGAGCTCTTTTTCCTTCAACTATAACTTTAAAACCTTTGGTGCTTCATTATCAAGGTGTTTTGAAAAGGTTTCTTTGAATTTTTAAAATAATAGTTCAATAAATTTGGGTGCCAGTAAACACAAAACATACCACGGCAGTGCCTGAACACAAATAATCCACCAGAATGTGAGGCCCTCACCTCTGCTGAGGTGTGTGAGACTTGCTGGTCCCTATTGTGCAGTGAGTGACACAGACACCCTTCAGGAAGCTGTGACTGCATTGCATTAATCACAGCACACAAAGCAGAAGCAGAGTCAAGTTCAGGCCCTGGCACCCCAGCCATACATTGCAGGGGATTCAGTGCAGGATGTGACATTGCCCCTTCCCTCAGGACTTTTCTAGACTGTAGCTCTGTATTGTGTGTCTGGCACACACTATGTGACGTCACTTTTCTCTCAAAGAACCAAAGTGGCTCCCCAGTATCTACATAAGGCCAAATTCTTATCATAGCATTAAACACCCTCCTTCCTACCCTTTCAGGCTTGTCTTTGATGATCCACAATGATGATACTGCCAGCTTGGACTGGTCACACCTTACGCACTGCCCCCTGCCTCAGTTTACCTCACTCTCTGCTGCTGGAAGGGTGTTTCTCCTCTCATGCCCATGTTCAAAGGCCTGGCTCAAAACTAACCTTTCCCATGAAGCCTTCTGAGGGCCTCTCAACTACATAAGTCTCCACTTGGATCCCAGATCCCACACAGCCTTGTCTGGACTTTGCCTCAAATGCTTACTGTTCAGTGGATTGTAGCTATTTGCATTTTTTTTCTTTTCTCCCCTTTAGATTACACTCTCTTTTTTTGAGTATAGGGATTACCTATCCTTTATGAGCCCAGCAATGTGGTCTTGTAAATAGGAAAGGTTCAAAAACATTTGTGAAACTAAATCAAAAGATAGAAACATAAAAAAGTTTAACATGAACTTATGAGAATCAACTTATGAGATATTAAGTACATTGGGAGGGGACAAAGGAGAAACCACTTGGGCCTGGGATGGTCAGGGGCAGAGGATCCTGAGGAGGTGCTACATGCTCTAAACTCCTCTTTCAGTTTCTAAAAAATATTGGAAATGACTTAATCGAAATGTTTTGTAGAACCCTTATGAAGCGGTCCTAAAATTGAATCAGCACCAACTGTAACTGTCTTCCTGTTACTTGGGTCAGGCTTTGATACCTACAGTGAGCTGCACATCTGGCTGCATTTCCAGAAGAACCATATCACCAGGTAGCCCAAATGACTTGATTTGGTAGGTGAGGTAGCCACCATAGGAGGAAACCTAAAATTGAAATGAAATGATCAATAGCACAGACATTAAAAAAGACTATAGTGACATTAGCCCATATAAAAATTACATAGGCACATAGATCTGGAAAGATACACAATCAACCTGTTAACAGATGTCACCCTTAGAGGGTGGAATTGAAGATGGTATTTTAACGATTTACATTATACCATTTTATATCAATTAAAATGTTTAACATGAACATGATTGAGTTTTACAAGCAAAAGAAGGTGAAGAGATTAACCAAAGAACATATATGCATAGTCCAGACAACAGTGTGGTGATGGCCAGAGGGATAGAGGGTGAGAGCTGGGTGGAGGAGGATATGGGGGGGGATGGGGGACACCTGTAATAGTGTCAACGATAAAAAATAAAAGATACTTCTGTTAAAAAGAAAAATAATAGTCACGCAGAAACAAATAAGATTCTTTTATTCTAGATGACTGCTAAACCAAAGTGTTTGTTTAGTCCACGGCTATTCTAAGAAATCTAGGCCATTGGTTTTTTTACTTAACTGAGAAAATTGGTTAATATCTATCAGTTACAAAATGAACCTCTATAAGTAAATTTTCAATAACCTTCCCCTGAGAGCAGATGGTAAATATTTCCTAAGTGATTATGCATTTTCCTGAGTATTAGCCATGTCTGACTATTCCCTTAGGTGTACGGACCTTCTCTCAGGGCACGTAAGTAGCGCAAGGGTGGTGGAGATGTGGAGGTGAATGGTCATGGTTTCCTGACAGCAACTTCACCTCTGGTCCTGATACCTCCCACCCTTAAAGCTAAAACCAACCAAGAAGGAAGGGGTGACTAACGGATGAAAATCAGAGGCAATATAACATCAGAGCAGGCAGGACAAAATCCCCCTATTGGAGAGTGCAAATAACTTGCAGCAGGGAAGGAGCAGCATTTCTGGGCTCCCAATCCTCTCAAGTTTTTCCCTAGAATCTATAATCTGACAAAGCTTTACAGAGTTATGATCTTAAAGTCTGGAAGAATTCTAAGGCAACATCTTGAATCATCTTATTGAGTACAGTTGACCCTTGAACGTGGGGGTTAGGGGTGCTGACACCCCTTCCTGTACAGTTGAAAACCTGTGTATAACTTTTATCTCTCCAAAACCCTAACTACTAATAGCCTACTGATAATATAAATATTTGAGTGATAACATATGTTATATGTTATATGTATTATATACTGTACTCTTACAATAAAGTAAGCTGGAGAAAAGAAAATATTAAGATAACCATATGGAAGAGAAAATACATTTATAGTACAGTATGTATTTATTGATAATGTAAGTTTATGTCATCTGTTTACAAGATGAAAAAAATCCACATATAAGTGAACCCCCACAGTTCAAACCTACGTTGTTCAAGGGTCAACTAAATGGCCTTTTTGATGGCTAAGGTAGTTTTAAAAATATGTCCCATATTCTTTGATATCCTATTTTTTATGAGGTAGAGCTTAATTCCCTCTCCTTGAGTGTGGGCTGGACTTAATGACTGGCTTCTAATGAATAGAATATGGCAAAAGTGACGTTATGTCATTTCTGAAATTAGGTTATAAAAAGACTGTGGCTTCTGTTTTGAGCCTATCTATCTATCTATCTATCTATCTATCTATCTATCTATCTATCTATCTATCTATCTATCATCTATCTATTTATCTATCATTTATCTATCATCTCTATCAGTTGTTTTAGAGGAAGCCAGCTGGCAGGTCATGAGGACCTTCAGGCAACCTATGGAGAAAGAGCTTAATGCAATGGAGAACTGAGGCCTACAATTTACAGCCAGCAAGGATCAGAGACCTGCTGACAACCATGTGCGTGGATCCTCTAGTCCCAGATGACCACATCCTCATGAGAGACTCTGAGCCATCTGCTCTTGGATCTTGGTCCACAGAAACTATGCAAGATCATAATTGTATTTTGTTTTAAGATTCAAAGTTGTGGGGTAATTTGTTACACAGTAATAGATAACAGTACATGGGCCCACCTGTGGAGGTGAAGAGGGTTATATGAGAGAAGCAACAGTCCCCACACTCAAAGGTCAAAACCCATAATCCTTCAACCAGAAGGCAGAGTTAGGGACCTCAGGCCAACAAAGCCCTAATATTTAGTCATTCTGAAGGTGAGAATATGGCATTACCTGAGCTGGCCCTATGAAATCCTCCCCTTCTCAGCTGCTCTACCCTATGTCACCAGGTGCGCATGTCACCCGATGGTGTTTCCACAGGAGGCCCACACTTCTGTCCTTATGAATGAGTGCAGCTGGCCAGGCTCTGGAATAACATTTTATGCAGCAAAGTAAGAGCAACCAGTGCGTTAGCTCCCGTGGGAGTGTCTAACTAACCGCGCGTGATTCTCCTAATGAAAGTCGAACTGCCACAGAATCCTGGGCTTCTTTAAATGAGCTCCCGAGTCACTTTTCAGCTTTTGTTTTTTTGACAAGGGGCCTTTCTTCTGCTTTAAAACAAAGAACTCCCAGCTTGGCATTTAAAAGCATACATGTCCCATTTGCAACAGATATTACGAAAATGGTTATTTCCTTTGGCATTAAGTAAAAAAATCAAGAAAAACATGGTGCATGACTTCCTCTGCTAATGAGCTAATGCATGTGGGGTCCATGGGTTTCTTATGGTCTCAGCCCCTCCCAGAGGGAGGCAGCATCTCTCCTGCATTTGGAGTTAACCTAATTTCTTCCATTTTAGTAACCTGAACTTCCTGATGTTCCCTTCCAGACACCCAGTAAATGACGCTCATGCAGTGAGGGAGGAGGCCTGGCGAGGGCCTGGAAGAACAACAGGATATCATTACCTTGTCCCCCAAGTAGGAAGGAGGTGCCACCCAGGTCGCACTGTGAACTGTTGAGGGCAGCTCCTGGAGGTCAGCAACCACGCTGCTGCTGCCAGGGTTGAATGAGACGGGGATCTCTGCTCTGTCCCCCGTCTCCAGGCGCCAGCCCATCATATCCACAAACTGGAATACAAAAGCAAGGAATGGGAACGTGTGTCTGTAACTTCTTGGTGACGCAGGATTATGCAGAATAGAAAGAGCCATGGGGCAGCCACCTTGCTTCGAAGGCTTCCTTTCTGTGTCTCCCCTCGGCTTGCCCTTGGAATTCTCAGAGGGCAGGCAGAATGAGGGATTTATCTTTGTGTCCCAGCACACATCCTGGTTCTTGACTTTTAATAGGTGTCCAATAAATGTTCAAATAACACATAAATAAGTATATGAATAACAACTAGCACAGTGGGTACATTTTAATGGGGAGCTTCTTCTATACAAAATGTGATGTGGAAGACAGCAATCTGCTATCATTATTTTGCTCTAAATGGAGCACTGTAATTAAATATTTCCCTGGTCACAAAGGAGGCCAGGAGTTAAATTATGAGAGGAAGAGAAAGAAGGAGCTTACAAGGCATAGATTAGGAATAATGCTCCTGGGTCCCCTGGGGGTAAAGAGAGGAGACTTCAGGGTGGATTTACAAATTAATTTTTTTATTTTTCCAATTACAAGCCTGCACTCCTTTTAGGAGGCAGGCAGTAAAATGTGTAAAAAAATCTTTCTTTGAATACTTGTTGGACATAAGACATTACTCTATAAGGAAAGCAAGCATTATACTACTGGTTCAAGGAATAGTGAAGGCAGCAAAAGTTTCCTTCATTTAAAGGAGTTATTTTAAAAAGTGGCCAAAGAAAAGATGTGCTGAAAATATATGAGAAGGCAAAGAAAACAGGAAGAAGATTAGCAGATAAGAACAAACAAGGGGGAAGAGCAACAAAGGCCATTTATTTAACGAGTGTTTATTGAGCATCTACTATGTTCCAGATGCTGATGTAGGCACTGGGAATAAATCAGGAGCTCACGTGCTAGTGGGGGAGGAAGGCAGATAATAAAAAAATTTTAGAACTAAATGTAAAATATGGCAGGGAGTGATAAATGCTTTTGAGTACATGACACAAAGAAGGGCAAGCACACAGAGAGTGACCGGGGGGAGCTATTTCATAGGGAGTGGTGAAGGGTGGCCCCTGTGGGCATGAGACACCTGGCAAACTGAGGGACGGAGAGTGAGGACATCTGTGGAAAGAACACTGAAGGCTCAGGAACAGGTGAGCCATGCTTAACTTTTTAACAAAGTAATACGTAAAAACCTCCACAACCCTTCATGTTTCATACCAATTCATTCCTCCCTCATTCGGAAGTACTAAACAAAAACAAATAGACTCTCACTCCTTGCATACCTTAGCTCTTCTTTTATGTGTACTGTGACAGTGATTACTTATTCCAAAACAAAAGCAGCTGGTACAACCCTTGGGGTTTGCAGGGTCCAAGTAGAATGAGCCTTCTCGACACACATTGCATTCTGCACCTTCCACATTCTCCTATTAAAAAACACGGAACAAGAGGTCATTCCTTCTAAAGGTTCCCTGATTGCAGATAGCTAGCTAGTTGCACAAAAGAAATACCAATACAAGCTGTTAGAACATGGATGCTAACAGAACATTAAGATATATAATTGTTAAGCTTTTATACTGCATTAATTGCTTAAACTTTTATGCCACATACAAATAGAAAACTTCCTAAATTTTATATGATTCCCCTTGGCATCTGGAAGGTAGGGGAATTAGAACCAGAAGGATTCACAATATGGTGAGATCAATTCATCCCACTTACCACCACCTCAAAACATCTGCTAGGACTTGGGAGCTCTGCTACCACCTGGCAGAAGCCCTGGTGGCAGAGATGCGCCAGAAATAGGCTTCTAGGGAACCTTTAAATCTCCTGAAATTGTACATAGAAGTTTGTGTTGATTTTTCTGGAGAGGATCTGCACCTGTCATCAGATTCTTAAGAGGGTTTGCTGCCTCTCCAAAGGATGGAGGGGTAAGAGAGGTCTTCCCTTCTATTTCTATCAAATGAGAATGACTATAAAATGCTACACATATGGTGGAAATCTATTGCAGGTCAGTCCCATTTCCTATGTATTCTTATATGTTGACTCGACATGAAGACCTCCCACACTGATCAGTGGCTGACATCCTTGGCATTGCATGTTCGCTCTTACCTTGCAGAGGCAAGCCCCTGTCTCCGGGTCACAGACTCCTGGCTTCGTCCCCTCTCTGTTGCAGTGGCAGGGAATGCACTCAGGGAAGCGGTAAAACCCAGAAGTACATCGGTCACACTGCCGCCCTGTGATTCTGGGCTTGCACCTACACCCAAAGCAGAGGAAGCAAAAGCTCTCGTCATCTCCAGACAGTTCTAGAATCCACTTACACTGCAGCAGACCCGTTGCTGTACAAAGCCAGTCAAACAGACACGGTGTCTGCCCACGGGGTGCTGACAGTCAAAGGCAGAATGGAGGAAGCAGATAAAAGGCACCTACACAACCTGGGCCTGGGCCTTGAAGGTGAGGATAAGCAGATGGGAACCTACTTTACATATTTTCACTTCATTGGAAAAGAAAGAAAAGGAGTATTTTGCAATGAAGGCAACTGTGGAAGCTGCTTGTTGAGACTAGAACTGGAAGCAATTTCATTACTTGTTGGCCTATTTATTTCAGAGCATATGTAAGCAGGGCTGGGCTGAGAGAGCTTGGCTACGTCGGTAAGATAAGGTAAAGCTCTGAACACAGGAGTGAAGGAGAAAAAGCAAAAGCTGCGAAGAGTGGCCATAGCAGTGGCCTAGGAGCTGAACCCTGAGAAACCCTTAGGACGGCTAGGCAAGGGTTAACCAAAACATGGAGAGTATGACGTCTCAGTTCCTCAGCAATGCAATGCTCAGAGCACTCAGTATGCAAATCCTGTGCCAAAAAAGCAACGAAAGGAGTTTGGGGTGGTACCATGGCAACAGAGAATCAGAAGTAAACTTCCTTTGCAAAGTCTGGCTGAATACCTTTTAAAACTACCTAAAGTCACCCTGACCTTGGCACATTTCTCCAGAGACACTCCGCTACCCAAGGAGCGGCCCTCACAGTGAAGGCAAGAGGTTCTAGGTGCCGGCTGGAGGCTCAGAACCGGCAGCCCTGAGAATGCAGGTCCTGTGAAGTCATCTCCATGGCAATGGGCTCCCAGCCAAGCGTGACGTAATAACATCTGCGAGCATGTGGGTGCTCGCCGTGCCTCACAGACAATCAGAAAATCAGGTGTTCGGCTGAACTCTATCCTTTGCTCATTAAACACTGTGGGTCCCTTAAGCCACACTCACATCAAACTCTAGTTTTAATCTAGAATCCAAAGTCTGCCTTATTCATTCATTCATTCAATAATTATCGAGTGCCATATACATATGGGTATATATATATATATGGTATCCCCAAAAATAATGTCTACACACTTTAATAGCTGATAGCTTAATTTTGAAAATGAAATGTATTTTGATAAACACTGCTTTCATAATTATTAAAAGTGTGTGTATACATTTTTGGGGACATATATATCCCTGTGTAGGGAACCTGGGAAGGAAGGGACAAAGTAAAATAGGTTGGTCTTGAGCTCAGCACATTTTCACTGAGGACACAGGACACAGAGATGCAGAATACTAGGTAATCCTGTGAGAGACGGAAGGCTGAACATTAAACTTGCTTTAGGCAATGAGATGATGAGGATGTCCCCGCAGACTTCTAGAAGGCTTCATGCTTTCTCTGAGTTTTAATACACAATCCTCAGAGGATAAGTACAATTTGGGGCTAACAGAAGAGGGGGAAGGAGGCCTTCATAGCTGGAGAACTGAATATGTGCAAACAATGTTTAGAGGAAGTGAGAAAACGAAGCCAGAGAAGGCTAAAAGAAGGCTTCATTAGGGTCGGTGGAAAGCTGGTCTTTATCCTGTCAGATAATCGGGATTTGAGAAAGGATTTTGTGCAGAGTGATGGATGGGAGTGGTGCTGTGCAGAGACATGTGTCCCCACAGCAGCCCACAACTCAGGCTGGCACTCAGCACACCGCAGATTACTGTTGGTGAGTAGAGATTCCCCTATCAAGCTGTGACCTGGGACAGCATGTGTGCCTTCTACACAAGGCACAGCACCTGAACTGGAGTGGGTACCAGATACAGTTTGAGCAATCAAACATATTTATATCTGACAAGGTAGAATTTAAGGCAAAAAATGAACTGAGAGGAATGCTTCATCATGGTTTAAAAAGACACATACAAGAAGATAAAATCATAAGCATGAATTCATCGGCATTGTCTCAAGTTTTGTAGACTAATAGTTCTATGTATTCATGACAAAATTATACGGAAAATAGATCTTTAAATCCCAGTATGATTTTGTATTAACACATTCCTCTTCAACAAGGGGGAAAGAGAGAAAGAGAGAGAGAAGGAAAAAAAGAAAAGAAACTACAAACCAGGAAAAGGTAGGTCAATCAGGTGATCATCAATATCACTCAAACAGGAAGGGGTAGAAGGACTGAACTGGGTGCAGCAGGTAGCAGGGAACCATGGGGAGGGAGGGGGGCAATATCTACCTTGCCAGAAGTTGACACCTGATCAACTGTAGGAAAAAGAGGCTGGTTCTAAGATATACTGGAGTTTCAGACTTTGAGGACTGGGAGGAGGCTGTTACCATTAAGTAGAATGTTTTTAAACATCCAAAGAGAGAAATGGCTTGAAAAGCAAAACAATGGTGCAGGTTTCGGATATGAGGTAAGAGGTGTAGAATTTTTGAAGGTGTAAAGGCCCTTAAAGACCATCTAGTCTAATATTTTGTTATACATGTGAGGGGACAGGAGCTCAGAGACTTAGGGGACTTGTCCAAGACCACCTAAGTAAAGCCAGTAAGAGAACCCAGGTCAAACCGATTTGCAACGAAGGTGGGATAAGACAGCCCTCAAGGACCAGGACTGGAGCTCTGGATGTAGGAACCACCCAGGAGTCGGGGAGGAGGGTGGAAGCCAGAGGACTAGGTGGGGTGTCCACGGGGCAAAGTACAGAGGGAAGAAGGCAGAATAACAGCTAATACTTGTTGGGTGCTGGTGTGTCTCAGATATTGTTCTAAGGGTTTTTGCAAAGGATATTTAATCCTCAAAAGAACTTCAAGAGGGAGGTGCCTCCAGTATGTCTATTCCACCGATGAAGAAATAAGGCATGGAGAGCAGTAGTATGGTGACATCACCCAGGTATCTTTGATTATTTCTTTTTATAAACTTTAGGTTCTCCTAGACACATTCTTCATTTTCATTAGGAAATTTTCTGGGTGAAAAATAGCATTCATCCCTCTAATATTTTCTAAGGAAATAATTCTTTCAGGCAATTAAAAGCTTTTTCAGCACAAACTCTGGAATTACTGTGAGCAATTTGTGCAATTTATAGCCATGTAGTAAACTGAAAGATTTTCTTACATTACCTGCCAAAGGCCCTTTCATAACAAGTCCACTTTGATCATGAATGGATATGTCATCCCATGAGGTTATTACAGTCTCTGTGGTAATGTCAAGTAAACAATCACATCTTGGGTTAAGTGTGATACAGGTCAATGAGATTCCATTCCTGTGATGCTCCCTCAGGTTTCTGCAAAACTACAGGACATGTCTCAGTTCCGAGTTAGGAATTTTCCAGACTATGAATTGTCATTGTAAAGTTTTGTTAAACACTCCTTAGAATTTTATGTAAAATAAAAATACTCTGATAAATCTATCATAGAAGGTGCCTTAACTGATTTTACAATTTTTAATGCGTTCTTGGTTTCTTTCTCTGCAGTGCTGAGAAACTGTGTTCACAGCAATGTATCCTGTTGACCAGCTACTACTCCCTTTTAAAACTCTCTTGCTAGTCCTCAGACAGTGAATTCTATTGCTTCTCTTCCTGCTGAAAAACTGCTTCTCCATCTCCTTGGTTTTTTTGCCTCCTAGGATTAAACATCAGTACTCCCTCCAGGACCCCCACTGGCCTTTCCTCCTGCATGTCCGCACCCCTCCTGGGTCCTCATTCACTCTGATCTATGCCCTTGGTTCCCAAACCTCCATTCTCAGCGCCGAACTCTTCACTTGGATGTTCTGCTTTCAAAAGAAAAACCAAAGTAGTCATTAAAGAAAAACAGAACTTTGTTGTACTTCCTTGCACTTATTTTGAGGCCTACTAAGTTTTTATTCTTAATTATATATGGGGGCACTATACTGTTTTCAGTATTTAGGGCTCTAAGTATCTTAATGCAGCTGTGACTGAGGCCACTGCAGACTCCTGGGCTCCCTCTCTGCAGGGACTTCATTTCCTAATAACTATTGCACGCACCCTGTTTACCTTCCTCTCCTGCTCTTCGGCCTAGTTTTTTCTTTGTATTCACAAGGTTATGCATTGCTTATTCTGCTGTTCAAATGGAATCTTGTCCTTGCAGCCTTTCTTACATCCAGACTCCTGCTATAACACCCTTGAGTGAGTCAAGGATTTTAACCTCGCTCCCTGCTTATGCTACTTATTTGTCAGACTTTTCTTTCTTCCGAAGGATTTGCACACACCTGTTTCACATAAAGATGTTGAACTATTTCCTTTTATTTGCTCTTCAAATATATTAAAAGAAAAACAATTATTCCTAAGTCAACCTTTTTCCCTTTTTATTATACCCCAGATTTCCTTTTCTGAAGTCAGTTCTAATTCTACAGTTTCCTCTGATCTGGTGGATGTCCTGGGGAGCTTTGAGGGGTGTGTGTGTGTGTGTGTGTGTGCANTTTTTCCCTTTTTATTATACCCCAGATTTCCTTTTCTGAAGTCAGTTCTACTTCTACAGTTTCCTCTGATCTGGTGGATGTCCTGGGGAGCTTTGAGGGGTGTGTGTGTGTGTGTGTGTGTGCATGTGTGTGTGTGTGTGTGTTTAGGACTGAGAAACTGCAGAAGGATTGAAATATTTCAATTGCAAAAAAACTGGCTTGGTTGACCATCTTTCAACAGTTGTCTAACTCTCCCTTGACCACCTTTTTGAACCTAAGATGGCAAATGGTGTCAGTGGTGCTCTCTTAGCTTCATGGAGAGAAATGCTTAATTCTTCTTCTCTTTGTGGATATTTCCATCAAGATTCACACATTTTGCTTACAAATACTCTGGAGCTCTGGTCTCAAATGTTTATGATTATCACTTTCCTGCCAATAAAAGGGTTTGTTTTTCAAGAAAGGGAGATGGCACTGATGGGAACATAAAAAGGGAAAGGTCAATGGTAAGGGAGTGATGGGAAATAATTGTGAATATCGCCATTGGAGGGAGGAAGGCCCTTGTAGATGTAGAAAAGACAAAAATCATCATGGGGGTGTTAGCTGGGAGAGAAAAAGTGACAGCCATCAGTGAAAGAATGGAAGATAAAGAGAGGTAATGGGAGCAAAGGCAGCTATATGACAGGAAGATGAGAGTAGAGGAGATGCTGGGAGCAATGCCAAATAGCCCAGCTGAAATTAGGCCGCATCCCACCTAGTGGACCAAATCTACAAGGTTCTGCCATTTTCCCAGCTCCTTTTTGGACCAAGGGTTGAAACAGATGGATGGAAGCAATTTTTTCCTGGAGAAGCGCATCTAGATCAATAATGAAGTCACAAGATGACACGTAACTCCTCTTCCTCTCTGCTGTCTATAAAGTTGATGGGGTCATGGTTGGCACACCTTGCTCCTCTGCAGCCTCCCACTTAGACATCTTCTCCAGGAACGTGGCTGTAAGCAACGCCTGGGCTCAGCGCATCTTTCCGCTCTGCAGCATTCCCACTGGCTCCCGGGAGCCTGTGCTTCCACACCAAGTGTCATCCTCCTCATACATCAGTAACCGACTGGAAATAAATCAGACACTTTCACAGGCCCATGGGTGCCCTCGGGTACACAAGGCAGAGCCTTCGGTAGTGAACTAAGGGCCGGGCTTCCTTCCAGAGAACAGCCTAAACACCGGAAGGAACGGAACCTGATATGTGTTAATCAATTGCGATGAAAACTCTGGATATCGCCTCAAAATTCTTTGTGCAAATCACATCCAGTTTACACTCATAGTTTGAGAAAGATAAACAACTGAGTTGACTCAGGAAGGACTCAGACCTGTGAAGTTAAAGATTTGGAATGTTTCATGATTCAGGTTTTCACTCAGCTTCCTTCCCAGTAGTACAAAGGAGTTGCTAGGCACTGGGCAACAATTAAGGTGTGGTTAAGGGCCCTTCCTTAGGAAAAGTGAACATCACTGCTATAGAGAGTAGAGTTTTGTCCCTAAAAATATATGTTCAAGTTCCAACCCCTACTACCTGAGAATGTGGCTTTACTGGAATTGGAAATGGGGTCTTTTCAGGTATAATCAGGTTAAAATGAGGTCATACTGGAATAAGGTGGGTACCACTCCAAAATGATTGGTGGCCTTATAAGAAAAGAAGAGACAGACACACAGAGAAAGGAGAATGCCATGTGAAGACAGAGGCAGAGACTGGAGCGATGCATCTACAGGCCAAGGAAATCCAAGGAGTGCTGGTAACACCTGAAGGTAAGAGAAAGGCATGGAACAGATTCTCTCCTAGAGCCTTTAGAAGAAGCATAACATAGTCAAGATTTTGGACTTCTAGCATTTAGAACTGTGTGAGAATAAATTTCTGTTGTTTTAAGTCACCCAGTTTGTGGTAATTTTTTATAGTAGCCCCAGAAAACGAATACAGCTGCCCTCCAGTACCAGCAGAAGCCCCTCCTGGCTCACACCTGAGTTACAGGAACACAGACCCTGAAACAGCCATGTGCCTGGGCGTGTGGTGGGGGGAGGCGAGTATAGGGTGGGTGGTGAACCACATACTTTCTCCTGCCTACTGCCATGCCAGCCTGGCCTTCAAAAGCTCTGGCTCAGTTTCCCTGCTACACAGCCCACTATTTAATTCTTCTAGCCTCTCTTCTAGGAGGCTGGCTCACGTTCTCCATCACCTGTCACTGCTCCCCAGTCCTGCTGAGATAGGCTGATCACTTGCAATCATGTGGCATCAGCTTCTAGTTTTTAATGCAGAGCCTGGCCTGCACCTGTTTGAGCCAATGCTTGCCATTTGCCTCTTAGCGATTATACACTGGACCTATTGCTGTTCCTGGGGGCAGCCCCACTCACAGGCAGGCTCTCCAGCAGGTACCTGCCTGCCCTGTTTCCCTCCCCACTCCCAAACAACCCCCAATGAACCCCCACATTGGCTCAAACAGGCAGCAGGCAGGAGAAAGTACACAGTCTATCACCCCTTCCAGCTGGCCTGAGTGAGGGAGGCAGGCTGAGGATTTCAGACTTCGGCATGCACTGTCCTTAAGCAAACCTCCAGCTAATCCCAGATTGAAGGTTTGGAGCCCAGCCCTAAATACAAATGTATAGGTGTCCACCACAAGGTGACCCAGTGGAAGAAACTGATAACTTTATGCATGTAAATAACTTTATGCACACTAGGAACAATGCTGGAGTGAATAGGCAAGGCAGCTTGTGGCCTCGGGCCAGTGGCCATCTGCCCACCCAGGCTCTGCTGGGTTACCTGAGGGGATAAATTACTCCACACAGGAAGCCATTCGGAGTGGGAACTGCACCCTGAGGTGGACATGGTGCCATCCTTGAACCCGTGAGAAATGGGAAGTAATGACTGGTGAGTGGGCAGATGGTGCCATTCGTTCCCATAACAGGACCTAGTAGGTCAATGCACCTGAGCTCACCTGCACTGCCCGTGGTCCCTGTCGCACTCCAGGGTGGCAGCCCCAGCAACAGTGCCCCTCCTGGAGCAGTTGCAGCCCTCGCAGCCAGCCAAGGGGTGGAAGCTGAAGGAGTGTGTCTCACACACCTCACACTGGGGCCTGACCGTGCGGGGAGGGCAGAGGCACTTCCCCGTCATCTCCTCACAAAGGCGCCGGCCACAGCTGCATGCTGGCCAGGGGATAAAGAGAGATAGTGAAAGTTAGATGCTTCCCAGCCTCCAGCAGGACGGTACCAACTGCCAGGATTTCCAGAAGCTTCCAAGGGGTCTAGGAGAAATGTCTTGCTTTTCCTTCATTATGGCATTATTGATCATAGTTGATATGAAAGGCTCTTTCTCAGGGCCAAGATCAACCATATTAAATGCTCACAGTGGATATCATACAGTGTGTGATTGCTGTATTGGCTCCAAGATAGCCACTCAGAGGAACCCACCAAGCTGCCTATCTGTGCCTTTCTAGTGTGAGGCCTCTCACTCATCAGAGGGTTCTGCTCCTCTTGGGCTACTGAAGTGGCTCCACATCACCCCAGTGCATTGAGTCCAGGGTCAGGGCAGGACTCAGGAGCAGGACCCCATTACGCAAAGGCTGGTCTCCATGTGGGGACTCTGTATGCACCACACCTGCACCCCTCACTGCTGACATGGCCTGAGCTGACCCTGCGTCTTAGGCAGCAGGACGGTTCTTAGATAATGGTCTGCAGGCTTCTTGTTCAGTGAGTAGTATGCTCTCTGACCCTACTTCTCCCATCCTTACTTTGGTTGTGTTGCAAAAGCTGAGAAGGCTGCCACTAGGAATGAAATTGAGCCATCCAATATTTTAATACTTAATACTATTTACATGGCAAGGACATAATGAGTAGTTATTAGACATGCAGAACCTCAGGCCGCAGCCTAGGCCTCCTGTATCAGAATCTGCATTTCCTTAAGGCCCCCTCCCCCCTTCCCCATGAGTCTCTAGCACAGAGAACTCCGAGAAAGTCCTGCCCTAGATGAGCACCATCCACCTGGAACCAGAGACTATCCCAAATGACCTGAACGTGCACTTACGCTTGCAGTGTGGGAATCCGTAGTAGCCCGTTTGACAGCGGGTACATTGTCGACCAATGACACCAGGCCGACACAGGCACTGCCCACCCTCTTGGCTGCAGTGATGGCCAACAGCCCCGGCAGGGTGGCACTCACAGGGCACTGCACCCTTGTGGTAGAGAGCTACCAGAGACCTGGCAGAGTTCTTACAGAATCCAGAGGCTGTCTGGGGGCTGTGGAGACAAAAACAACTCATGGTTCTATTTCAGGAGGTGTGCCCAGAAACGGTCCTACCATCCCCTTCCCACTTACCCACCAAGCAGGGTCTTTGGGGAGGGGCTCTGATTCTGGAGTCTTGGAGAAAACGGGAGAACATCCCATCCCTGGACTCATAGCCAGTGACAACCACCCTTCCCCCCAGCCATCCACTCCAGAACACCACACAAGACTGGTGGTGGGAACTTTTGGGGGCTGGAATAAAAAGGAGAGAATTTACATATGGAATGAATTGTATGATTTGTGGATTATATCTCAATAAAGAACTTACCAAAAAATTACACCTAAATGTGTAATGATATGCCAATAACAATAATGAGGAGGAGGTGAATTGTCAACAATTATTCAATGGTGCATGCTAGAAGCTTTTCTTACATCTCACTTAACCTCACAACCCCATTTCACAGATAAGGCAACTGAAGCTCCTAGAGGTTAAACAACATTCCCAAGGTCACAGAGCTATAAAGCGGCTGAGCAGGCATTCATATCCATAGTTGTTTGACTTCAGAGCCTTTGTTCTTAATATTTTCTCTACAGGGAGCTTCTGCCTACGAGGCCACCTGGAGCACCTGGGTTCCACAGGAAACCTACAGGGGCCAGGTGGGTCTGAAGAAGAGAACAGGAGCAGATTCTCATGGCCCCATTCAGCTCTTGGCATTCAAGGAGCAGGAGGGAGGATGGGAGGCCTATCTTGCTCTGATGCTCCCCGCTCAGTCAGATGGCAAAAGAGGGCGGGAATCAGGCCTGACATGCCTCCCAGTGGAGAGTATCCTGTGTGGTATCTTTTAGGAAACTGAATTGGACAATAGGTAGCAGCAAAGAGGAAGAGAAACTCCTGAGCAGCCCGTGAAACCCAGTTTGGAGGGTGAATCTCTGTTGAGATCCCAGTTGAGGGTGGGAATCTTGCCCAGATGTGCATGACAAGACCTGTTTATATATATATAAAGTGTGCAGAGAAGAGCACCTCCTTCCCTGGACATGGGACTCACTGCCACTCCCTTGGGTGCAGAGAGAAAGCAGACTCAAGGGCCAGCAGCTCCCTTGCCTTGCCCTGGGCGGGAATGTGGGAGAACCTCATGCATTTCACAAAGTAATACTTACTCAATATAAAAACTATTTCCTCCGCAATTGGTGATAAACTCGAATGACTTGTCCACTGATTTTTTGTGAAGTATTTGGTAGTCGTAATTCTCTGCAGGCACCAGTAGAACACGGACCTAATGGAAACAGTGAACATACATGTCTTTGGATTTCCAACAACAGGGCACAGCCACTGCTATGCATTATACTCTCTGTACCAAGATCAATGTTCTCTGTCGTTAAGCCTGAGACCAAATGTAATAGGATTTATGAAAAGAAGAATCACAAGAACACCCCTAAGCCAGTATTAAAGGCTCAGTCTATGATCCTATGTAGGAAATGATGAGGGCTGGGCAGGCCCCTTGGAGCAGCAGCTTAGAGAAGCAGCAGCCTGGAATGCTGGGTGGGGACAGGAGATCTGGGGGGTATGCAGGGTCCTGTCAGGACTCCCAGGGCCCCATGGGATTCATGCCTGGGATGCCTCTGGAACCACAGAGGTTGCTGTTTTGTATTTTAAAGGTGAGCAGACTGAAATGGCAGGACCAATGGGGAAACTCATACCATGGCCTGCCCCTGAAGTTTCAATCATATCAGATAGTCTATTGTGAATAATTATAGCCCCAGTTTTTAAAAGTCCTGCTTGGTTCTCTGAACCTGTACAAATGAGACTAAGCTAGCAACAAATGCTGTAGGAAATTTCAAATGTCTTTGTCAACTACTCACCAGCATACAGTTTATAGAGAGACTACTGATCTCATATTACTCAATTCAATAAACATTTGCCAAGCACCATGTGCCAGGTGGTGTTCTAGGCACAGGGGAGACCAAATAAATAAAGTCAGGTCCCTGTCCTTAGCAAGATGATATTCTCGGAAAGAAGGAGCACGAGCAAGGACTAGAGGGCCCCGGAGCAGGGCCTGGCAATGCTGCCTGGCTTTGTGGAAGGCTTTACCAGCATTGGGTGACTGTGATTCCATCAACCAAAGTGATGAACAGGGGAGGGGGCACATGGGCCTGTGCAGGTAACAGGACAAGTTTGAGGGGCTTATGAGATCTCTGGCGATAGAGACATGCAGCAGATGGTCCCATACTGGGTCTGGAGGTCAGGAAAAATCAGAGATGAATGCACAGATGTGGGTGACACTCTCACCAAGGACAGAATAGAATCAACAGGCACAGATAATGTTACCCGGAGAGAAATGATAAAACAAGGGCCCAGGGTCCCACCTGAGGGAACGCCAACATATGGGGACTAATGGAAGGAGAAACCACAGAAAAAGCACTAGAGAAAGTGAGGAAAAACAAGAGAACACAGTCATGGAAGCCACAAAAAGAAAGTTTTTAAGAGCAAAGGGGTCTTAAATTCTTCAGAGAGAGACCAGTCAGAGGAGGGGTCAGGAGAGGAAGGGCTGGTAGAGCGTGAGGCACTCGCTCACCACAGCTTGCACGGGAGTATTTTCTTCCTATTTACTCTCTATTATTTTGTTTGATTTTAATTGTCACATGCTTTCTTTTTTGTAATAGACAGCTGCAAAATTTAAACATTTTTCTATAAATATAACTTAATTTCCTTGGAGGAATTATTGTCATGAGCCAAACGGACCCACAGAGTGGCTGACCAAGGCAATCATGTGAAGAGTGAGCAGAGGGGCAAGCAGAACGCACCAATACTAAGGACTTTCCTTCTGGAACCTTCACAGTCACAACCACCTCAGGCTCTGTGAGGTCAAACTCCACTTGGTCTTCAGCCATCACTTGGTCCTGGCAGCCAAGCACATGGGGGCAAAAAGAGGCACGGAAGACACCTGGGCAGAAAGAGGAGGTCCTGTCACACCACCACAAGGCCTAGTGAGGCAGGCAACCACGAGCCTGTCCCTGCAGCTCACCTGGCGACAGCTGCCTGCCATCCACAGACACCTGTGCGGGAAACGTGGGGTGCGCCGGTTGATGAAAATGGATGACAATAACATACCGGCCCACGCGTGGCACGCGTCCTCTCAGGGTCACTTGGTTCTAGAAGGAAAAAGGAGAGGGGAAAAACTCCTCAAGCTGCAGAGCTACGACTAATTAGAATCACAGGATATTCTGAGGTTAAAAACCAAAACAACCAAGGTATTTACCCAAGCTAAGTAAAAACCTTCACCGGAATGTTTATAGCCGCTTTATCTATAATCACAAACACTGGGAACAACCCAAATGTTCCTCAGTTGCAAAACAAGTAAACCCATTGTGGTACAACCATGACGATGTGGAGAGGGGGTAATCTGGTACAATCACTTTGGGAAACTGTCTTGAGTGTTTTGCCAAAGTTGAACATATAACTGAGCACTTGCAGGTCTCAATACCTACCCATCAGAAATGCATAATATGTTTGTCAAAAGGCTGTAGGAGTATGCTCTCAGTGTCCAACTACTACTTGTAACAACTGTGTAATAAAAGTCAGACTCCATTTTGCATGTCTGACCACTGACGGTTTCCAAGATCATCACCACCCTTCTGTCTTGGGCCCCACGCCTGGATTAGACAGTAAGGAAGCCCAGGTGCACATCCCTTGGCACAGCGGGAAGTTCAAACCACACCAATTCTAGCCCTTGGAGAGGGATCCTCCCCCGAGACCCCTCCCCAGCCCCACGCCCATCCAATCACTCTGCAAACCAGGCACACCCCTTCGTTCCTTCATAAAAGCTTGGGTGTGCGCCCCCTTCTCCCCAGAAAGCCTCACTATGTAAGAAGCCTTTTCAAACCCTCAAAAACACCCCACAAGGATAACAACAAAGGCTTATCCTCACCTGTCAGATGAGCACCGTGACTCAGGGAGGGTAAGTAACTTGTTGACGGTTATGCACTAACTTGGTCACAAACCGGGACTAGAACTCTATTGTCTTGATTTCAATTCATTTCCTTCTACTATTTTCGGCTTCCCTTCCCATATGAGATCTTACTACATTTTCTCTCTCAGGTCTGTTAATTTCCTAACTCAGCTCAATGGGAATGGACACAGCCCATCTCTAGTATTATAGGGACATAATATCATCAGAACAAATGTGAAGTCTTGTGATTTTGTAGTTTACAGTGAAAAAAATTGTATTTCCCCTACTATTTCATCTTCATGCTCTAGATCAGCGATTTTCAACTGGTGTGCCACAAGAATTTTTAAAACATGCAATACCTGACTATTTAGTCAGGGCCACTGACCTCTTTTCCCTTAGACTGTCAAATAAAAAAAATGATAACAGTCAACTCAATAATAGCTGGTTAGTGTGAATGCCCTGTCCTGAACCATAAACATAGTATAGGTCATATAATAGAGTTGCATCTTATTGGTCACATTGAATAATAAGGTTGCATCTGCTTGGTTAATTCTTGGCACCAGAAATCTTTATATATAAGTATAAGCACCTAATTTTTAAAAAAGTCACTTTGGAGCAAAAAGGGTAGATAATTACTATTATTATTACTATTATTTTTTAAATAGATCAAAACTATATCTATTTTTTGTCAGATGGGCAAAAAATATATTTTTTGGTGTGCTGCAGAATTTTAGTAATTAGTTTATGTGTGTCATGAAATGAATAAGGTTGAAAATCACTGCTCTAGAAAACTAATCAATCACTAAATGTTTATTGAGAATTTCTTTCTTGCAAGGAATTGTGCTTGTGCAGTTGGTGATACCAAAAAAAAATTGTTAGACACAGCAGTTATTCTAAAAGTGCTTACATTCCAACTTGGGAAGATAATAAACTCAATAGTGTTAAAGAACAATGGCCCGTGAAAATATGAGATGTCACAAGATGGACCATGAGAACTGGCCAAATGCTTTAGACAGAGATGCAGGAGGGAAAGAGAGCAGCAGGAAGGGGTGGTCATAAATAAGATTAACCAGATGCCTGCAGGTCTGGATCCTCCATAGTTGAGAGTAGAGGCTCTCAAACTTTAGGGGCATCTGAATTCACTGGGAAGGTTGTTGAAACACAGATTGTTGGTTCAGTAGTACTGAGGTGGGGCTTGCGAATCTGCATTTCTAACAAGTTTCAGGTGATGCAGATGCTGCCGGTTCAGGGCAACACTGAGAACCACTGCCTTAGAAACAACACACTCGGGGATTCCTACCTGTGGTGCCATCAAGGTGACGCCAGTAACAACATCAGCAGAAGGTGAAGGATCCTGGTGCAGGAGAGGGGGAGAACCACCATGAGGGACATCTAAAATTAATGCTGCTGGAGGAGTTTCAGGGGACAGGGAGACACAAGTGGCTCTGAAAAATAGAATATTTTAAAATTTTATTTTAAAAATAACCAGAAAAAGGGAGAACTGCCCATTGGTGAAGATACAGATTCTGAACATAAGACTGTGTGAGGTTCCAGTCTTGGGGGAACCATAGGACTGTGGCGATCTTTATACTGGCCAGTGTATTCCAGCCACCTTCTCAATACAATGAGCTAAAATAGAAAGAAAAACCTTAATTTTGAGGGAAAATAAACTACACATAAAATTTCTGAAACTTCCTTTTCTATAACTAAAATTGTTAAATGAGACCAATGCAACGAAACATTATTATTCACCTCTAAACATAAATGTTGACATAAAACTGTGTAAAAACAGGAGCAAGCACACATCATTTCTTTAGGCACAGCCAGATTTCATTGCCTTGCTAGTTTCCATAGTCCTAACCATGTGCACAGATTTTATGACTGTGTCTATAAATTATTTTTGAATCTACATCAAAACAGCTCTACCAAAACCCCAATAAACATTGGTTAGCAAAGTCTCATAACACGGTTGTGGAGTAGGTCATTATATTCATGGTTTTTTAAATGAAGAGCCTCAGACACAAGGATTAAAGGATTAGACAAAGTGAGTCTACAAGACCTCAGAATAGAAGTCAGAGTAACTGCCCACGAGAACTGGGCTTAACCATTTCCTCCAGTTGTTACTATGTCAGCTTCCTGATCTTACAGAATTCTGAAGAGAATTCTGGGGTAAATGATTTAGCTGTTTGTTTGTTTGTTTGTTTTTTAAATTCATCACCAGCCTTTAGCACCTTGACCTATGGTCACTTCTGAAGTGAAGTATAAAGTTGCAGCCTTGCAAGCATTACAGTATCACTAGGAGCATAAACAAGGGACAAAGGAAGAGAACACATTACCTTTGATTATCAAATGGCCCATAACTGGCAATGCATTTTACTTGAGGTTTCAAATATTCAGTTGAGAATTCTTCAATGGGTATGATACAAATCTGATGCTGTTGAGCAAATACAATGCAAAAAGATACACTGCAGTTATCAGCAAAACCGGTGATAAGGTCAAACACACTTTTTAAAAAAGCTATTAAGTAAAGAATTCATCCAGAGAAATTACAATGGTTATTTTAAAGTAGTAAAAACTGCACGATGGTACTCCCTATGGTATTATTTTGTGCAACAAATCCTTTTTACTGTTATTAAAGGTCAGTGGCTGAAATGCTCTTGGAATAATTATATAAATAAACAAAATCATGTGAAAGTTCAAAAACAATTCTTTGTCAGTGACTTTTGGTGCCTTTTTTCCCTCTCCTGCCCTGAGATGCTGGCTTTTCAGAGCCCTTAGCAGAGAAAGGGGGAGGTGTAGTGGGCAGCCAGGGAGCCTGCTATTCAGACAGCTGCTCCCTCGACAAACAATCCTTCTTAATTCTTAATAGAGGATGACTCATTTCTCAGGCATATTTGGATTTCATTGAAGAACTGCCTCCAGAGCTAGTTTTTGAGTCATACAAGAAACTCAGTTATTAACTTACCAACATATTTCATTTAAAATCAAAACTGTATTACCAGTTTGATCATAGAGCTATTCAGTATCAACAACAAAATTTTTTATTGAACATCTACTATATGCCAGGCACTGAGACTGGGGAATCCTGCAAGACCAAGATAGATAACATCCCTGCCCTTATGGAGCTTATATTCTATCAGCCTTGACTCTGAATGATATTTGACTATTTTCAAAAAGGGCAAACTTATGCTTCAAAGGTGAAGATTCAGCCCCTGCCGGGTAATTCAGTTGGCTGGAGCTTTGTCCTATACACCAAAGAGGCTGCAGGTTTGATTCTTGGTCAAGGCACATACCTAGATTGCAGGTTCAATCCCTGTACGGGAGGCAACAGATCAGTATTTCTCTCTCACAGTGGTGTTTCTCTCTCTCTCTTTCTCTCTCTCTCTTTCCCTCCCTTGTTCCTCTCTCTCTAAAAAAATAAAATCAATGAACATATCCTTGGGTGAGTATTAAAAAAAAAAGATTAAGTTTCAGCCCATTATAACTTCTAAAGATGAAAAGATTGAGTCAATTGGATTGTTATGTTTAAAAAGAGATTTATAATTTTAAAAAGAAAGTCTTAAATTATTATATACTTCATAGAGTAATTTTTTAAATTGAATTCTAGGTACTGCTTTAGCAAAAGCTCAAAGGTTTTACTACTGTCAAGCACAAATATTTAAAACACATTAGAACAGGCTGCTGGGCATTCCCCAGGTTGTGATGCATGCTTAATATTAGCAGTAACAGGAAGTTGCTTCATACTGAGATATTTTTATGTCCCTGAGATATTTATTGTGAATCTGGCCACTCCCTCCTAGCCCAGATCTCACTGTCTCTGTTTATCATAATTCTCAACATTTAAGTTGTGCTATTAAAAAGGGTGGACTTGAAGCATATTTAATCTGTCAAACTTGGCATTTTAAGTCTTAATATTATATATCAAATTAACTGAGTAATGTTCTTTTGAAATAGATGAACAGTAGTCTGGAAAAAAATACCAGAGGATTATAACCCTTAAAAGTCTGAAAGAATCAGCCAAGAAGCTAATATATATAATAAAATAGTAAAATAAGAAAGAATATAAACAGTAACTAATGCATTTTTCTACACCAGCAATAATAATAAGCTAGGAAATTAATGATAAAAGTTATTTCATTCATAATAGTAACAATGAATAAAAATTAATGAAACAGGGTTTGTGAGATGTGCTCAAGTTTGATGATTAAATTTTACTGAGTGTTATAAAAATGGCTCAAACAAAGACCAGGCAAGATAGATTTCTAGATGGGGGGAATGAACATCATAAAGCTGGCAATTCTTCACAGGGTTACTTTTATAGATGTAATAAAAACCCAGCCAAAATTTTAATAAGCTTTTTTGAAAACATAGATATCAACCAAATGCTTCTAGAACCCAATGGGCCTACCAGAAGGAATCGGGCCGTACGTGCTTTGAGCCGAATGCCTGCATCTGCTAACAGCTCGTAAGTGGCCAGGCGGCTCCTGCCATCGGTCACAGCGCTCCGGCAGAGGACACTGCAAGAGGAAACAGTTTTCTTAGTCTGACTCCCCTGGTCTCCCTCACTTTGTGCCTTCCTGCGGGGTGGCTGATTGCTCTTCAGCTTCCCGTTTATGAGCCGGTGGCCAACGCTGAATTTTCCTGCACGGTGAGCTTGAGAGGGATGCACGGGGAAAGAGCCTCCCCACACGGTCCGAGCTGCACCTTGCGGGGCTCAACGCCTTGCTTACCTTTCCCACTGGCTTTATGGGATATGCACTTGGTTCAGTCAGCGGGAGAACGAGCCCCAGGGTCAATAGTGTCTGATCTTTAAAGACAGCTTCTTGGAAATTTACCAACATCCTGGGTACTGTTGGCAATTAAAGTTGTCCATGGGCCTCACAACCACCGTCCCACGGGACATCAGCGAGCGTGGCTGGCCTCACACAACGTCGTGGGCTACCCATTTTGCCTTTAGAAGTCCAGTCTGCTCCTTCTCATACTTCCTTCTTCATTTCTACCAGGGGTCCCCCTTCCCTCAGTCCCATCAGGAACATTTAAAAGGTCACAGTTTTGAACCAAGAATACACCGTAATGGTAAAACCCATAAAGGAAGTTTTTTTTGAGGAATGCTCTGACTCCATACCTCTGTAGCAACTTTTCTTTCTGTAAATATAATTTGGAACAAGTGATACTCCAAAACAAAATGACCATCTCTAGGAAACACAGGGTGGGGCAAACATAAGTTTACAGTTGTTTGTATGGAAAATAATAAAATAATTAATAAATAATAAAAGAATAAACTCTGTGTACTCACAACTGTAAACCTACTTTTGCCCCACCCTGTATTTGAAATAATTTATGCAATGACTTTTGGGGTGAGAATTAAAATGGGACAGTGTATAAGGAGCTAAATACAGTTCGTGGCATATATTAGAAACTCAATAAACAGTCATTTCCTTTTCCTTTTTGTACATGTGTATGGAGGTATGAGTGTGTGTCAACTAAAGTGCATTCCTTTTGGATTCAAGCATGATCCTGAAAGTTAAATATATTAAGTAATTCAATTAGGTTTAGATTTATCCTGACCTTCTATTAAATTCCTTCCAAGACTAGACTAACAGTAATAACTGGATTGATTTAATCATTAATGATCACCCCTCTTATGGAGGGCAGGTTGGATTTATCACAGCACTATTTTGAAAAATGATATTCCCACTAGAGCCACTACCTTTCTGCTGGGATATTGTTTTTAACAACATAGAACTCACTTGAGAAATGCTGGTAAAGTTTCAAATCTCAGCAGGAGATGTTGCAATGCTGAAAGGGCCTGCCATTTGAAATAGGTTTTTATGGGTCAAATATTTTCCAATTGCACATTGTTGGACTCTGGTATATGTAACCTGTTCATTTTCATTTTTCCACATAACAGGCAAAGTAGAGAAAGGGAAATGTTTTAGGCAAGTGAATAAATACCACGGGACCTTCCTGGGAGTGGTTAAGTACAATAAAAGTGATTCCTGGTCTAAAGCAATGCTGTGTTGGAACTCTAGTCATGGAGGCTGATGGTGGAGAACGTTGGTGCTGTCATGTCCACAGCCAAAATGATCTGCAGAATATCTTGTAGTTCTTCCCCTAATGTGTCGTTCAAAGGCCACAATGCTTATGGAATCCTGGGAGGCTGTCCTTTCTTCCTTTGGTTTTGAAATCACTCCTCTGCTTGGCATAGATATTCTCAGTCTCTTCCGAAATAATTCAGAGAGCTACCAGGGTCATTTGGAATGCTTCCTGGTGTCCTCTTAGCCATCTCTACATTGTATCCCGTGGAGTAACCTGGAAGGAGAGCTGATCTAGAGGGTGGACTTGGACAGACAGGGTGTGAAGAAGCCTTGCCCCAGGCCCTGTGGCCCACAGTCACCAGGATTCATGTGGAGGGGTGACCCACCCATCTGGGAGTGTACATTCCAGTGGTTGCTGATGTCACCTATAGGTGAAACTAACATTTTCAGATAACGAAAGAACATTCTGGGGAACTTTTGGCCCATCTGGCGCTCCTATTAAAAAATCCAAATATGATTATATTCCTTATTTTTTAAATCATCCTCCCAGAGAAAGAGGTGGATTAGACTTTTTCAAAAATATTTTTAAAAGAAGGAAGCCTTCATAGTTTGTTTTTTAGGGTTGCTGAGAGTGTGATGTTAATTCAATAACCATTTCATCAAGTCTCATAAGGTACTTTCCATTCTAAGCTACTAAAAGTAACTCTTTTCATAAGTTCTTTTATTTGCAAAACAGGGAAAATGTCCAACTACTTCAGGTCATCTTGGGTTTGACAAAAAGCAACATGAAAGTAGAAGCGGCAAAGTGTTCAAGGCCTTAGCCATGACCTGGGTGGGCGCATTGCCATTCTCCACCTGCTGCCTCCGACTTCCAGTTCCTAAATGGTAAGTAGAACAATTAACTTCATGTGGAAACACCCTTTGCACTGACTTTGTAATTAAAGCATGCTCTGAATATTTGCCTATATTTTGAAATATTATGCCAAGGAAACAACTTTTAATAAATCCCCATCAGAGCTCTTGGAAGAGGGGAACATCAGGATGAAATGTTAAAATCCTTTGTCCCATTATTTTCACCTGATGAAAATTGAACATTCACGATCTCCAGTTCTGAAGGGTGTGTTGGGATGGCAGGCGCGACAGAGAATGAGACTTTTTCCCTATGCTACACACCTATGCACTTTGCACAGCATTTGATGTGAGGGCACTGACTTCACTGTGCCATGCAGGGGGTGGCAGAGAATAAAATATAAAGGTTGTGCTGCTTCATGTGAATCTGAGCCCAAATGGTAAGTAGAACATACAGCTTTTAGAGAAAATGCAACATTTTCCAGACCCTGCCAACAGAGAAACCTCCCCACACCCATACTGTATGGTGATGTTGGATCACTCGACTAGGCACTTGCTTCTTTTCAAAATCAGCCTAAAAACGGAAACAGCTTTCCAAATCCAGATAAAAACCAAAGTTCCCAAAGCTGACCTCCTGACTGTTCAGTTACAGGGCACCCCCAGGGCAGCACTGATTACCTGTACTTGCAGCTATAGATGTTCACCTGGCCGGCCAGGACAGACCCGGGGCCCTCCACGTGCACGTCCACCACAGACAGCTGCTCTGCTTCCGTGGAATACTCCACCATGACCACGTAGTGGCCAACCTGCGGGACCCGCAGCTGCAGGTGCAGTTCCACCTGTCAGAGAGCCCGAGCAGACAGACGTGGGATGTACTGGGTGAGTTTACACAGGCAATGGTGAAAACAGGGCTTACTAGACACCTGGAAACAGTTTTCTATGTCATCATCTATAGGCGCGATGCCAGATAAAACACAGGATGCTCTGTTAAATATGAAATTCAGATAAACAACACATAATTATTGAATATTTTTAATTTAAATTTAATGGGCCATCCAGTATTTTTATCTTCTAAATCTGGCAACCCTACATTTAGGAACTTCTACTTTTTCTACTCATATATTTGCCTTTTTTCTCAAGGTAAAACACACTCCACACTCCATTCCTTTTTGAAGTAAAAAGAAATTTCCAATGAAAGATAAGAAGAATGGGAGATAAAAAGCCTTGAGGCTTTTTAACTGTTCTTTAATTTAAAAAGAAACTTTAAATTATATGGATGCAAATAATGTAAAGTGATACATACACCCTACTCCTGGGATAATGATAAATAATAGCTTGGTTTTCATACTCGCAAACCACTTTGTATGCCTGAAAATGCATATGTATATGTACTTTAAATAAAAAAGAAAAACTGTAATCATAATAGGCAATCCTGGATGCATTGACAATGGCCCACAAAGCCGAAAGTACTCACTGTCTAGCCCTTTACAGAAAAAGTATGCCTGTCCCTGATACCACCTATTGATTAAGAACTTGGAATCTGGAACCATACTGCCTCTAGCTGTGACCTCTCGCTGTGTGCCCCAGTGTCCTCCTGTGTAAAAATGAGGGTAACAATTGTACCCACCTCTTAAAATTATTATGAGGATTAAATGGATTCATACATGACAAGCCATTAGAACTGTACTTGGCATGTCGTAAGTGCTATATAAACAGTAATGATTATAACTATGATTATTGCTTTTTGCCATGACTTGCTTTCTTTCTCAACAGTACTTCATGTGTCTATAGCAGTACATACAGATGTACTTCATTTTTCTAATGGCTGCCTATCATTCCGTAATATGAATGTAAAATAATTTATTTAATAATCCCCTATTTATGGACACTTAGGTTGTCTCTAATTTCCCCTATAACATATAATGTTACATGATTGCCCATATAATATACATGCACATATATACATATACATACATATTTATCTCATTATGTTAGTATTTCTCTAAGATTCCTAGAAATAGAATTTCTAGGTCAAAGCGTATGTGCATATTTAATGCCTGAGCCAACATTTGAACTACATTTTTAGCAGTTTAACCCACTGCAGCTTATAAGCTCAGGCCCAGCCAAACTTTACGACATCTAATTAAAATCCTCCAGCCCCTTGCCTTCAGGAATTTCACATTTACTCTTTGAACCACACACAACTGCCGTTTTCCACAGTGATTTTTCTATCCCTTAAATAATAGAAAGACCTCCCTCAGGGAAAAAATGTGGCTTATCCACACCACGTTTCCATGTTACAGAGTGAAATATGATGCTGCCATTGGCCCATGTGGAGAGGTTATTACAAGCATTTCTCCCCTGGGCATCTCCAAATGAGGGCTTGTCTGTCTTCACCCCACACACAGGCCAACGATGCATTGAGTTTTCTCCTGGAAGTTATTATTGGCTGCCAGTTCTGTCACAGAACTATTATAAATTCCTATTACTCTTTCCACTCTGAGTTCTAGGGGTTGAGTTTTAGAAGACTTGTGGGAAGGGTTTTGAATACATATGATGGCAAAGGTGGGTTTTGAGAAAGTCAGACAAAAGACATAAAAGATGGCAAAGAGAAACTTTACTGTTTGCTTTTTATTATGGTATTTGTTTTTCAAAAAGGGAAACTTTAAGAAAACCAGTGTCAAGCTGGAGGGTTCTTTCCAGTTTTATGGCACCCAACTGCCCTCATCTAGCTACCAGTGTTTCAGGATAAAGACATAAGAGGTGGTGTATCAAACATGCTGCTTCCACAAAGATGACTAACATGTCAGATGCCAAGGTGAGCATTCAAAAGGATTTGGTCGACAGACATTTATTGAACATTTATTTTGTGCCAGCCTATCAACAAGGCAGTGGGTATACAACGGGAAACCAGACAGACCTGCTCTCTGCCCTCAGACAGACTTTAATCAGATAATTAGATAGTTAGATAAGTAAAATGCAAAATTACAGGTATGACAAATGCTTGGAAGAGGTGCTGAGAGGGGTGCAGGAGCTAGTTAGAGAGATGAGTAGAGAAGGGAGTCTTCCTAAAGAAGTAATAACTTAGCTGAGCACGGGAGGACAAGCAACAGATAACCAGGCCACGAGGGGAGAGAAGAGCATTCAGGCCGAGGGAACAGCCTGCAGCAGGAGGCTGCCCTGTAACGCGCAATCCTGGAGGCAGCACACCGTGCGAGTCCAGGAGAGTGAAGGAGGCCACAGTGGGGGGGAGCAGAAAGCAAGGGGAGGTGTAACAAAATTGGGCGGTCAGAGCAGCAGCCTTATAGGCCACTAACATTTTTTGTCTTTATCCTAAGAGCAATAAGATGTTATTGTAATGTTCCGATTATGCATGTGTGAGGGTGGGGTGAGAGGGTGAGTGATGATTAGATATTTCTATCAAAATGAGGATGTTGCCTATAGTATGGAGAATGGATTGGTTGATGCAATGGGCAAGAACTGATGTGGGTGAGCTAACTAGGAGGCTACTGCAGAGATCCTTATAAAAATGATGGCATATTGAATAAGAAAGACAAGTGGAGGCAAGTGGAGATATTCAAGAAAAGTCCATCCTAGGACTTTCCAGTTAAATATAATGGGTTAAAATACATATTAATCTTCCCTCTCACAAAAATAAGAGTCAATTTTTAAAAATCATAAACCCACAAGGAAAAATGGAATAGGAAAGAGGAGAAGAACAGATCAGAGAAATCAACAAAATTTTGGAAGCTGGAAAGCAAATGGATGTTAACTAATTGCGTCAGATAAAGCTGAAACCTAAGTGGGGGG